TGGTAGCTTGTATCCGCCCAGTGTTTTGTTTCAATAAGCTGGTTATCAACTTCAAATACTGAGGTACCTCGGCTGCTGTATTGCTGGAAATCTAAAGGGATGCGTTTAGGGCTTACACTACTGCAAACGATTAGATCCTGAGCGTTTTTTTGCTGTTCACAGTGCCATTGAAGGGTGATTTATTGTGCCTACGATTGAACCCGCTAGGTCATTTATATAACAATAGCTGTGGCTAGATCTTCTGATAACTGTTAGGCTATTTTTTTATTGACAGCCGTCATTGTGTGAGCTCAAGCGCTAGAATTGAGAGGCTTCTTAATTTTTACCAGCTATTGTTTTCTTGAAAACAAAATTGCAGCTTTCGTAATTAGTATAGATGTAGCTGAACGCAGTGATATCCATGCATCATTTCTTTTTTGATGCAATGCCAGTACACATCGTACGATTGGTAATTTCTACTTTTCCTGAAATGAGTCTCGGAAATCAAATTAATTTCCTGTCGAGGTCTAGCGTAAGAGATTGGACTGCATTAAATGTTCCCTTGGGATGATCTAGGTAATGCTCTTAACTAGAATGAAAGAAGGTTGTCTTCATTTTTTTGCCTAGCAATTGAAGATCCTACACACGGATGCGTTTACACAATTTCGTGATAGGCCGTTACTTGCAATTACTGACTGATCACTGCGGTAGAAGAGATTAAGGCGCCGAAATCTTATAATGACTTAGGTTTGATTCGGGTACTTCGTTTGAGGCATGATTAACCATGTGTCAATGTGGCACTATGTATCGAACCATCTGGGGTGCAAGGAGGCTTGGGTTTTGGTCTCTATTGGGTTGCACTCCGTCGATAGAATGGATGGGAACCGGAGGATTTGCCTCTTGGTTTATGGAGATAACTCTTCTACATGCTACGCACTCATCGACACGTCGGACGAAACCAGTAGTTACCGTAAGATGCATCTGAGTAGTAGTCAGAGAATTAAATTTGTTTGAGGAAGTCGGATACCGTGTTTCGCTTTATTGTTGTTTTAAGTGGCGCGCGTATCTCTT